AATATCAGAAGTGTTTTATTCAGCGTTTCAAAAATTAAAAGTAATTGTATACCCAAGAATACTTAATACTACAGATATTCCATTAAGAGATGATATTAAAAAAAGTCATATTATATCTCGAGTATTAACTGAAATAAGAAGATGGAATGATTCCATAACTGCAGATCTTTCATGTGTTATGAGATCGTTAAAAATAATATTTGAAAAATTTAGTGATGAAGAAACAAAGAAACAAGTATTTAGATACATCCTTGGATTTACTGACTTTGCTTTCTTTCAACCAACAGTATTTGGTATTGAAGTTGGTATTAAGTATGTATTTAAATTACTTCCTATTATTTATGATTCTTCAATATTTAAAGAAGTTGATGAAAGTCTAGCAGATGATACATTAGATGTAATTGAAATGATAAATGAATTTTTAGTATTTAATGATGGAGTATTTAGTGGAGTGGCAATATTATATTTAAACATGTTATGTGATTCTTATAGTATTTGTGGAATTAAATTAAAATACAGAATACTTGAAATGATAAAAAAATTTATTTGTTTATTTCCAAATGATTTCTTTGTTTCAGAAAATAATGGAACAATGATTCAAGAACGTTGTATAAAATCATTAAAATCATTTATTACTGATAAAGATTTTGAAAACATGAAAGATAAAATAGAAATTACACTTCTTTGGTGTTTAGATACTATTCTTAATATTGAAAAAATAAAAGAAAGAGCTAAAACGTCTAAGTGGTGGGGAATTAATGAATTAATTAAATTATTAATGAATTTTACTCTTGACGAACCAATAATACAAAGAATTATTCAATCACACGAAACAATTATTTCTTTTTTTACTGAACCAAACAATCAATTACAAAGAAGTGAATCTCAAGAAAAAATATTTCTTAATAAATGTTTACATTATAAACTAGAAGTACATCAATTATTATTTGATACTCTTACTCAAAAATTAAAAACTATTGACTCTTTTAATAAAATAAATGTTAAAATATTAGAAATCACTAATATAACGAAATACAAAGAAATTAATGAACAATTCTTAATTGAACATGATACTCAAATATTTAATCCTCTTGTCAATTTTCTTCAAATTGTAAAAACAAAATCAATAGAAACTTCTCAACTTGATGTATTTAATTATTTTATTGATTATGGAATTAAACCATCTTTACAATTTAAAATGTATGCTCAAAATCTTTCTCAAGAATGTCATTCAATATTAATAAATTGTTATCTTATATTCAATGATACGTCTAAAAAATCAAAATGTGCTGATATTTATGTTAAACATATAGACCTTATTACTAATAATTATTTATTGAATATAGAAGGATATAGAAAACAGTGGTGTGTTTTAGAACTACTTTATTCTATTGAACATATATTTCCTCAATTAATATCAAATAAATCATTATTAGGAAATGGATTAACAATACAGTGGATTTATTCTCTTTTAATCAAATTAATCTCATCACCTCATCAACCAATACGAGAGCTAATTCAACCACAATTAACTTCCATTGGAGATTTATATTTTCATTAATTTATTTCGTTGAATTTTATTGTTATTGTTTATAAAAAATATACTTCCAAAAATTAATTAAAAAAATGAATAAATTCAAACAAAACTGTTAAAATAAATACTTTTTGTTCCTGTCCATATATTTTTAACTGAAATATATTTAACATCACTAAAGAACTTTCTCCCATCAATAAAAACACTAAATAATGAGTCTTCACAATTGATCATCATCTTTGTACATGTTGAAACATTTGCTGAAGACTCTTCTTTTTCTTCTTTTTTTAAGGGTGAATCTTCTTTTTTGTCAACTTTCTTTTTCTCTTTTTTTTTCTCATCTTCATCTCCACAATATGTTTTAATAATCTGTTCACAACTTAACAACTTTCTATCATTCTTTCGAATTACACTTAACAACACTCCTTTAAAATCTCCATATTTTTCAATGGCACTAGTAGTTTCAATACCATCTAATCGAATAATATCTAATGCACTTAATGGTTTTTTAATTTTTGTAACATGTTGTTTATCTTTCTTTTGTTTACAAATATCAATAGCAATGATAGGAGGTTTTGAGTCAGTTACAGTTGGTGTGAGACAAATACTCTTCAAAAACGGAACAATTACAGTTTCATTTTCTGTAGTTAGTTGTATTTCTCCTAATTGAACATACTTTTTAGTTTGTGCATTTTGAATAACATCATTAACTTTTTCAAATATTAATTTACATATCTGTTGTTGAATATTTTGAATTGTATTAAACAAAGCACTCCACTCTTCTGAAAAAAATAATTCTCTATATTTTTTACTTCCATCTAATACTGTCATTAATTCACATGTTTTCCCAACTGGAATATAATAGAATTTAAACATTCCTTCTCCTCCTTTTAATTTCTTTGAAGTAATTTCAATAAAAGTTCGAACAAAAAGACTTACAAATCCATCAGAACCACAAACACCAATTTTAATTGCCTTTTCTTTAGTTCCAGCTTTCATCACTAACAATGCAATAAATTTTTTCATTTCTTCTGAATCACTTATAAAAATAAAATGATATCTATTTTCAGTAACTTCTTCAACATTCTCTCCTATAGCTTCATAAAACCTTAAAGACCGTCGTTTCTTTGGATCAATAAGTAATACAATAGGTTCTTCTTCTTTTTCCATCATTCCTATAGTTTTTTCCATTGAGTATAATGGTTTGATACAATCTTCAGTATCAGTAGAATCATCATTATCATTGGTAATAATTTTAACATTAGTAATAGTCTTTCTAGCTATTTTTCCTTTTTGTGACCCACTTGTTTTCATTTGTTTTTTAACAGAATCCCGGGCAACAAACTCTAAATTTTCTTTAGATGTTCTTTTTTCGGGTATATCACCTAACTTTAATTGGATTTTCTGACTTAAATTTTTTGACACTAGACGACTGTCTGGTGGTGTTGGTGCAATAGGAACTGAATTAGACTCTTCTGAGTCAGACCCTTCTTCTTGAATATTTTCTGCTGCATCAAAAAATAAGTCTAATGTTTCTAATGTATTGTCTGTACCACTAACTGTTTGTGTTTTACACAACTCAACAAAACGAGGTAAATCTTGAAGATGATTAAATTCTAAAGGAATAGAATCAATAGTACATGTAATTGTATATAAATCTTTATTAAAATTTTTCTTTTCGTTTGCTCCTTTCATATCTAAATCTCCAGTAAATCCTGAATAAAATATTTCATTTAAAGATAATGAACAAGAAGCGTACACCAAATTTGGTTTCTTGTACTTATGTAATCTGATATTTATTTTATTATTTATTTCCTAATAATCAGTTTTGTTTCATATTTTTTTATTGTAGCTTATCAAACAAACCCGAAAATAATGAAGGTATGAAAAGATAATATTGAGATTGACCATTAACGATGATGTATCTGGTGTCATAATCAATGGAGCACTTGTTTTAATTAAAGATTTTGTTTTGTTCATACAAACTGATATCAAAAATGATTTTGGAGCCTTTAATGGCATTTTCGCTGCTTTTTTATTCAGTATTTTATTAGTGGTATAATAATTAACAAATTTTTACAAACTTATTTTTGATAAATGAAGGTGACACACCCTTGGGATCGTGTTTCTTTCTTTACTTGTCAAATCTCCTAACTGACCTTCCAAGGTGACAAGACGAGACATAATTAACTGTTCATCTTGAAATTCTTATAGTAGTTTACTATTAATTTCAAATCCCAAAAATTTTGAAATGATTGGTTTTTTCTGTTCTATTATTGGAATAGAAAAATCAAAATAAAAAAGTATTTTGTTATATATTACATAATTATAATAATTTTAAGAAAAACAAAAGAAAACTTAAAAATTGGAAGTATTAGATATAGTAAAATGGAAGTTAATGCCATTGGACCATATGATGAGTTTGATTTATTAGAAAGAATAGGACAAGGTTCTTTTGGTCAAGTATATAAAGCGTTTCATCAAAACACAAGAACAACTGTTGCTATTAAAAGATTACCGAAAGATGCAGATTTTCAAGATATTAGAAGAGAAATTGATACACTCAAAGTCCTTCGATCACCGTATATTATCCGATACTATACAAGTGTATTAAGACAAGAAGAATTTTGGGTTTGCTTTTATCATAATTCAATAAATTAAATAGTTATAAATAGATTGTTATGGAATATTGTTGTTACGGATCTGTAGCTGATATGATGGAAATTCTTGGAGAAGAATTAAAAGAAGATGTTATTGCACAAATTTGTCATGACGCTCTTCAAGGATTAAAATATCTTCATGAATTACATAAAATACATAGAGACATTAAACCAGCTAATTTCTTAATAACAAAAGATGGGGATGTTAAATTAGGTGATTTTGGTATTGCAACAACATTAAATGATAAAACAAGACATCACAAAACATTAATTGGAACTCCTCATTTTTTAGCACCAGAAATAGTTGATGAAACAGGTTATAATGAAAAAGTAGATATTTGGGCATTAGGGATTTCAATTATTGAAATGGCTGAAATGTATCCTCCATATTTTGAGATGTATCCTATGAGAGTATTAATGCTCATTGCTCAAAACCCTCCACCTAAATTAAAAAATGAAAGTGAACATAGTTATATTCTTCAAGAATTTTTAAGTACTTGTTTGGTTAAAATTCCACAAGCAAGACCATCTGCATATACATTACTTAAACATTCTTTTATTTCTATGAGAAATAAACAAAATTTAATGACTTTATTAGATCGTCTCAGTGAAAAAATTCAAGAAAATGGTGGAATTGAAAAGACACTTGATCTTGTTAAAAAACAAAAGAAAGAACCAACATTCGCTAAACCTGAAGGAGGTGAAGGAATTAAAGATGGACAACAAGAAAATGGAATGGGAGATTTAGAAGATATGATTGATTCTATTGTTACTGATTATAATGTTCAAGAAACTGGTACGTTAGAATTATCTAACCATCTTTCTAATCATACAACAGAAGACATTGACGTTAAAAATCTTTATCAAAACGTTATTTATACTGATGAAAACAATCTTATTGGCATACCTGATGATCAAAAAGAAGATGTTTCAATGAGATATTCTCCTGTCCCTCTTTCTTCATCTTCTGGACAACCAAACCGTAATTATTTTGATGGTTCTAATGATGCTAATGATAAAGAACAAGAAGGTGGTGATTTATTAAATGCTTCAAGTCCTTTACCTGAAGAGAAAGGGGATCATGACCGTTCACCAATAACTCCAATTTATACTGAAAGTTACAGCATTAACCAACCATTTGTTCCATTGAGAATACCTTCACAAAGAGAAGATGGTAAAGCAATTGAAATTAAATCAAATGCAGATATATCATATGGACTAATAGAAAATGCAGAAAATGAAATATTTCGATTAAATGGAGAGTGGAGAGGTGTTACTGCTGGTGGTTGTCATGTTTTTCCTAGTTGGAGAAATAACATACAAATTAGTGTTCATGTGTTATATAAAACTACTATTGGAATTAGTTTAGAACAAATAGCAGAAGAAGGAAATTTAACTCATATTGCTATATATGCATTTACAGCTAATGAAACTGAAGATAAACAAAGAATGTTAGATATAGTTGATGATTGTGTTATTGGAGAAGGAACAACATTTTCCTTAAAAAGAAGGATAGAACAAACAATAGATTTTGATGAAGGGTGGTACGTTATTTTTGGATGTACATATCAACCAGGGATTGAAAGAAAATACTCAATGGAAATCGAATACCCAGATGGTTCTGCTCAAGTAAAAATATTAAATGAATCAGAAACTGATTGGAAATTATATCAAATTAGTAGTGAATGGAATAATAGAAATAATGGTGGTAGAATTAAAAGAAATTCATATCAATGGTGTGATAATCCTAAATTTATTATTACATCTACCCACCCAACTTCATTATTTATTTTATTAGTTGCATTGGGTATTGATGAAGATACTGAAATTGGATTTGTATTATTTAAAACAAAGGAAGATGAAACTCCATTAGCTGTACTTACACCTGGTAATATCAAAGAAGAGTCAGAAGAAAATGATACAACATCATCATCAGCACTAGTAGATAATGTAAGTGGAACTTATGTACTAATACCTTATATGAGAGGAAATCTATCTCGTACAAGTTTTAAAGTAATGATTTATTCAATGTCAGATATTTCTATAAGTCAATATATACCAACTAAAACATCTTGGATATCTGGTGAATGGAATGAACTCACAGCAGGTGGATGTTTTAATTCTGGTAATTGGAGAAAAAATCAACAATTTGTTCTTAGAGTTAAAGAAAATACCAGAATCATTGCTGAATTAGTTTATGATAAAGGAAGTCCTGAAGATAAAATGAGTATGGGAATGACTATGATAAAAACAGATTCTAACACAAAAATTTTTGGATTTGGATACCAACAAGTTGTCTTTAGTACTAACTTTACTAATGCATCATACATGAGTAAGACTGTTGAGTTAGTCCCAGGTCAATATGTTATTATTCCAATGACAATTTTACCAAATTTCTTTGGTAAATTTACTATTGTTATTCATGAACTGCTTCGGTCTACATTTGAAAATCCATCTGTTGAATTATCTGAAATAAACGAGGGGTTTAGTTGTTTCATATCAGGAGAAAATGGTAATTTAAAACAACCTCATTTATTTGTTATGAATAAAGGAGTATTGTCATTATTCTTAACTCCTATGATAAGCGGCACAACTAATTCTCAAAAGAAGATCACAGTCATTGATCAAAATAAAGGTAGAATACTTGCAACTTGTGATGAAAATGATTCGGACAGTTTGTTAATTTTATTTTAGTATTTAAGTAATATTCATTACTCATCAACTAGTTCAAACAAAAGTTATTCTTGATTCTCAAACTAATGTTCTTATCAGTATTCAATCAACTGAGCCTTCTCAATTAGACCAGTTCTCTCTATTACTTTTCTCAACTGGTAAGATTCACCAAATGGCTTAAATTAATTTTGTTCTTGTTCTAAATTTTTTTCTCCTATAATAATAAAAATATAAATTTAAAACTATTAAGACAACAATTCAATTAAATGCCAAGGAATGAAAGATCGACGGCTGGTTTATTTGTTTGTTGTGGTTGAGCTGGAGTGGCTTGTGTTTGAACACCAGGAGTAGCAAAGAGGGCTGGTTGTTGTTGGACTGGTTGAGTTGGTTGTCCATAAAGAGTGGCATAAATATTTTGTTGTTGTTGGACTGGTTGAGCAGGAGTAGATTGAGAAGGTGTGGTTGTGTTCAAATTATCAAACAAAGACATTACACTTTGTTGTTGAGGTGCTTGTTGAGCTGGTGCCGTAGTTGGTTGGGCTGGTGCAGCATCACCAAAGTCAAGTAATGATTTTGTGTTAGCAGGTTGAGTATTGATTTGGATGTCATCTTCCTCATCAGAAGAGAATTCTTCACCTAAAGTCTCAAGGTTCTTGAAATTAAATCCACCAGCTTGTGCTTTTAATGAAGAAACGAAAACTTCTGGTGGTTTATGTAATAATGAGGCCAAAGAGCCAATATGTGGGATTAATTTAACTAAAACAGCTTGGTCAAGTTCTTCAGAATCATCTTTAATAACTGGTTTTTCAGAACAAACCATCTCTTTTGCAAGTTCTGGATCATGAGCAAGAAGTCTCCAATAAAAGAGACCTCTATCTCTAAGATCAGGATTATCACTTTCAGTGCACATAGTAAACAAATTTTGAAGAACATCTTGATCCTCTAAAGAAGCTTTTAAAAATGATTTAACTGTTGCAGTGAGTAATTGTAATTGGACATTAATATCTTCTTCTTGGAAAGTTTCTAAAAACATTTGTAATAAATCAGCTACATTAGTAATTCTGTCTGAATATTCTCCAATAATCCAAATCATAGCAGCTTTAGCTTCTGGTTCATCAAGAGAATCCAAATTTTCACAAAGAGTTCCAATAACTTTTTCGTATCTATTTGGATATCTTCTAAAGATATCTCTTATAACAACGATTGCTTCTTGTACAATATAATTAACTTTTGTATTAATTAAATCAACTAAAGTAGTAATACATTGATTAGCAACGTTTTCTAATTTAATAGCACATCTTCCTAAAGCCCTAACAGCTTTTCTAACAAATTCAACATCACCCATTTGAGAATAATCAACAAATTCTGAGAGAATTTCTTTTATATTATCTTTATTAGCTAAAGCAACAATAATTTCAAGTTTTTCAATTTTAATATATAAAGGATCATTATATTTACAATAAAATATTTTTACATCATTTACTAATAAGTCTTTGCATTTTTGAAGAATTAATCGAATATTTCTTAATGCAACATATTGAATTTCATATGCTTTAGATGCAGACATAAGTGTTCCTAATGGTGGTGCAATCTTTTTTAAATAAAGTGATGCATTTTGTTCACTTAAATGAGGAAGTAATACAAGAATAAGTTTAACAGCAGCTAATACTACAGCACTATTGGCAGCTTTTAATCTTGGAGAAACTTGTTCGCAAATACTTTCTGCAATTTGGACATTTTCTGGAACATATTTAGAAATAGTGTCTAATATAATAACTTGTCCCCATTCATTTGCACATTTATTTAATGCAGTAAGAAGAATGTTGTAATTTTCTGAAGTAACTTCAAATACATCATGCTTTTCTGACATGCTATTAATTTCATTAAGAGCAGCAAGTGCATTAGCAACTACAACATGATTACTATCAAATATTAATTCTTTCAATGTATTAACAAATCCTTGTCTAACACATTCTTCTTGGTTTAAGAAATATAACTTTGCAACACACATGGCTGCTGTCTTTCTGACATATGGGTCTTGATCTTTTAATGCTTTTTGTAATGGGTTGTATAACTCTTGTGTAACTTTAGGTACTCTAATAGCTCCCATTGTTCTGATAGCTAATGCACGTATAATTGGATTAGGATCATTTGAATCTCTCAAAAAAGCTTGAACTGCTCTTGTTGCATTATCTTGTTGTGTTTTAGCATAATTCATAATGTATAAATATGCCAATTTCTTAGCGTCAATATTTGGTGTTGCAACACATTGAAGAACTTCTCCAAATAATATTCCAACATCTTTCCCTTCTGTCATTTGAGAAATAACTATTTTTAATCCTTCAATTCTTTCACTTTCCTTTTTGTTAGTTAACATTTCTCTCAAATCTTGAGTATCTGCAACTCTAGCTTTCATATTTCCTTTCTTTGACATCTTACCTTCTTTTATTCATTTTTAAGTTCATAGTTCTTCTTTTTGCGTAAGGAATTTTCTTTTTCTTTTTAAAAGTAAATTGTTATTTCTAACTATTAGTATTTTGTTTTATATTCCATTTATTAATAATTTTGTTATTTCATTATTCAATTTAAGTAAAAATAAGTAAAAAAATTTTTATTATTGTTAAGATAATCTCTTCATTTTACACTTATTTACTTAATTTGTTTTGTATTATTACTGTGTATTATTGTCCTTTCGTAATACATTTCAAGACCCAACAAAAAAAAACACTCACCTGAGCTAAACAAACAGAAAATGCTACTAATTAAAATAAGTATTTCATTATTTTTTATCATAAACAGAAATGACTCCATTGTAATAATGCTTGTCGTTGTTTTGGTCGATGATTCTTTAACTCTTTGATTGTTTTTGGTTTTTTGTTTATTGGAAGCTTTTTTATTGAAGCATCAATTTGACCTCGATGACGTTTAAAAGCTTTCCACCTTTTGATTTGAATTTGATCTGATGGACCTCTCCTTCCAATATAGTATCGACAATACCACTGAAACCATCCCCTGATGTCATAGTCTCCTTTACAAACTGGGATCCATCCATTTTTTTTCCAAGTTGTTAAAGACTGTCTTGATTTGACTCCAAAATAATTCAATTTTGGGTCAGCAACAAGACTCCTTTTATCTTTACTTTCATCATACCATTCAATTGGGAACTCATTCACACAATCATTTAAGTATTTCCCTTCAAATACTCCCATTTTCAACATTTGTTTAGGTGAATAATATGGTTTAAATTCATTATCAAAATTCTTTCCATAAGGTTCAGATAATTTATATTGACATTCTTGCATTTTATCTTTAACAATAATAACCTTTCCTGGACAATACCATTCTTCATGATGAGGATTCATTTATTCTTTTAAAAGTTATGATTAGAATGAGATATATTATATTAATCAAATCTTATGATATAAAAAACCGAAATATAAGAGAAAAAAAGAAAATGAATGACTTATTTCTTCTTTTTATCTTTCTTATCTTTTTTACCTTTACTATCCATTGGTTCTTCAGTGTGAGGAGTATAAACCATTCCAGTAGTATTTGGATTCTTATTAAAATCATAAGTTTTATCTTTCATATGAGTGACTTCTTCAGCTTGTCGTTGCATTTGATTTGTCATAGAAGAAGCAGCAACAACAACTAACTCTTCTAAAATTTGTCTTTTTGCACCATCAAAGATATCACACATAATTTTAGAGTTAAGTAAAGCATTTTTCCATTCAGTTCTTTCATCAACTGTTTTAGTTTTAAGTTGATATTTATCATCACCAAAAGTGATATCTAAAATAGCTTCTTTAATTTCTTTTCCTTTTTTTGGTTGTTCTAAAGGGACTTCATCAATGATAATACCTTTTAAAGACAATGACTTTCCTTTCTTATCTAATTCTTTTTCTGAATCAGCATAATGTAAAACACCATTTTTTATTTTTAAAAACAGTTTATGAGTTTTTTTCTCTCCGAATTGAACAGTACCTTTAGTCTCAATATGTCCAGGGAATGGAAGTACTTTTGGAAGACATTCAGTTGGACGAGCGAATTTAATAGTTTTTGAAACAATTTTTTGTAATTCAGCGTCAGAGATAGTAGTAAAAGAAGTAGTATAAAACATATCAGCTTTTTGTTCAATTTCTGAAGTAGAAAACTCAACACCAAATTCAATAGCAACATCTTGTTTATTACCAAAAACAACAATTTTAGTTTTAGAAGAAACAGCACTAAATTTTTTTAATAATTCTAAAGCGTAATTATAGCTGTCAATATTAGAAATATCAAAAACAATATAAACAACACTAATGTCAAGTAGATTTTTTGTTTTTAATAATGAAAGTGTTTTTTCAACAGTTGCAGTAATAATTGGTGTATTTCCTCTTTCAGAATCAAAACCAGCTAATTCTTTAATATTTCCAGGTGAATCAATAATTTTTAAATTAAACATTTTACCAACTTGAGTAATTTTTGAACGAGTACTAAAGTTTCTAGTTTGCATATAATATGAAAGTTCTTCATTCATAATTCTTGAAACCAAAGTTGTTTTACCAACAGTAGAATCTCCAAGAACAAGAATTTCCATATTATCATTAACATTAGCATCAGTCTGTACATTTTTTTGTTTATAAACATCAACAAGAATATTACACAATTCATTAATTTCACCAGCCACATGAATTCCACGTTCTTTGCAATGCATTCTAATAGATTGACATTCTCCATGATTATCCTCTCCTAAAATGGCAATAATATTTTTTGCTTCTTGGCTTTCTTGTCCATATATTTTTCCACATATCTCTTGAACTTCATTTAACGTACTTATACTTTCTACTTCATTTGATGAAATTACTACTAAAAATGCTTTTTTTGATGCAAAATGCATTTCTCTCATTGGAAGTACATTTTCGTATCCTATTAATGACGATATTCTTATTTGTAATTCTGATTTCCCTTCATATTGAATTGAAGCTACCATTGGAGTTGATGTTAATAAACAACTCTTTATTCCAATCCATTTGTTTAAAAATTTTTGTGTTACTTCTGGTGAATGTGATGTTATTAATACTTCTATCGATGCTGTTGCTCCTCCTACTACTGTATTTTTTAATATTTCAATATATTTCTTTGATAATGATTTAGCTGATAACGCTGGGTATTGTGGATCTTCACATAACGTAGGACAACTCATAATTCTTAGTATAATTTTTAAGTTCTAGATCTTAAAATTTAATTTTATTTGACAATTGTTTCATTATTATTTTTATTTTATTTTTATTTTTTTATAAATAAAAATTAAAAAAAAAAAGAAAAAAGAATTAAAAACAGATGAATACAAAAGCAGAAAAAAAGTATTTTCAACAAAAGGTATGGCAAATGAATGCACCATATTACTATGATGTTTTTATTGATTTTTATACACCACACCCAACAATATCATTTGATTGGACAAGACAAAAAACAATAAGTAATAATTGTATTGAACAAGAATTTGTCTTTGGAACACCAAACGGAACAGGAATTGGAATTGGTAAAGTAATATTACCAGATGAACAATGTTTAATAAGACAAACTGATTATTCTAATGGAATGATAGGATATTATGACATTGAATTACCTTTTTCAAAAATGAAATTAGAAAAAATAATTCAATTTGGAGGAGACTGTAATAGAATTCGATTCATTCCATCAACGTCATTTATTGTTACACAACAAAGTCTTATTTCAACAAATCCAGAAAAAGCATTTATTCAATTAGTTGATATTGAAAGTAATTCTATAACAACCGTTGGAATTCAAGAAACAGATGGATATGGAATAAGTGTTAATATGTTTGAACAAAATAAAATAGTTACTTGTACTAATCAAGGAAGTTGTTATTTTTGGGACTTAAATTCATTAAATCAAAATAAAAGTATTAAAATTGTAAATGAAATTTCAGTTAATGACATCGACTGGAATTGTTTTTATTCTCAAGTTATTTGTGTTACTGAATCAAATCAAATTGTTTTTATTGATGATAAATCTTTAAATAAATCTTATTACAATGGTGGATCAATTATGAATGCTTGTTGTTTTTCTCCTTTTACACCTAATCTATTAGCAACAGGTCATGAAAAAGGTTTTGTTAAATTATGGGATCAAAGAAATATGTCTTCTCCTTTATTTGTTATTCATCAACATAAATCTTCTCATAAATCCAATTCGGTAAATTCTCTTCAATTCTCTCCTCATCAACCAAATCTTTTATTATCTACTTCATCAGATAAAACAGTTAATATTTATAATCTTGCTAATATTGGAAAACCTGAAGAACTATCTGTTTGTTATTTTCTTTTTTTAATTTCCTTTTTCAATTATCAAACGTTCATTTAAAATAGTTTTCTCATTGTGCCCATAACAGCCAAGTTGTTGAAGCTCGTTGGAATCCAAATTGTTATGGATTTATTGCATCAGTCGCAGAAGAATATGACATTCATATTTGGAAATATACAGAAAATACAACAAATTAAATAATAAATACTCAAAAAAAGAAAATAAAAAAAAAGTATTAAATAATTTAAAAAGAAATTTAAATAATTTTAATCATTTTCATCATAAATTAATGAAGTTTTCTTTGAAGCAATAGCATTAATTAAAGCGATTTTAATAATAGCAGAATTTGATTCAGGAATACCCCAAAATAAAATTTGTTGTAATTGAATAATAGGACTACCAGCAATTTTACCAACAAATTCTAAAAAACTACAGTACTTACGAACGTCATGAGACTTTTTAATTTTGGCTTTTTTTAATAAAGAGTTTATTAAATCTTCTTGTTGAATAGTTTTAGTTACTTTTTTAACTGCGTCACACTCCTCATTTAATGAATGTGATAAAATCAAATTACATTTAATTAATGGTGAAGTAGCGTAAGTAAACATACAACCATTTCTATTTGGTTTAGAACAAATAAGAATAATATCATTACATAAAACTAATAATTTTTTTTCTAGTTTTTTTTTATTAATAATTTTGATTGAATATTTTTGAATTATTCTTCTTCCATCTTTAATAAATTCTTCTCCAGTTAACTCTTCAAATCCAACTAAATTATGTCCAAATTCTTTTAAATAATTAAAATCATTTAATTTAGTTTTACTTTTTTGAGAAATTATTTCAATAGAACTAATTTTAAATTGACACTCTTTTAACGTATCAGTTTGTAAAGCAATTGGTGTTAATTGAATTAAGTTTTGAATAAAGTTAATTAATTTTTTAATATGAAATTCAGGGATATCAACTAATTCTTCAATACAATTACTATCATTTTTTTTATCAATTAATAATTTAAATTCGTTATTATTAATAAATACTTCTTTAAGATAATTTAATGTATTTTCTTTATAATTTGCACAATCAATAAATTTAGGTAATTCATTTAAATAATTATTTAGTCCATTAATTAATTCATCAAATCTATCACATTCATTTCCTATTTTTGTATTTTCTATTATTCCATATAAATTATTTATTAATTTAGTCATTTCTCTATCACTTTCAAGTGTTTGAAAATATATTGAAAATAATTCTTTTGCTGTTTTTTCTTTTAATAAATTAAAATAAAGTGAATATCTATAAACATCTCTTTCAAGCCAATTATACCAATTAATATATTGAATCATATATTCTGTAAATTCTTTAATTATTCTAAATCTTTCTATAAACATTTCTTTAATTTTAATATCACCTTTTGTTCTAACTAATTTATTTGATACCATTTTTAATAATATTAATGAACTTTTTCTTTCATTTTTTATTTTTTCTTCTTCATTTATTAATTCCTTTGTTTTAGTTTTATTTATTGGTTGTACTGCAATACTTTTTGTTATATTTCTTGAAAGTGTTTTTGTTCCATTTCTTGAATTTTTATTATTTTGTTGTTTTATTAATTGTTCTATTGCAATTCGATCTGATTGTTTTATATAACTTCCACCAATTAAACTAGAGTTTAAATAATTACTTATATGACGACTAGGAGTTGGTGTACTTTCTTCTTTTAATTCCTCAGTGTCATGTCTTGATATTATTTCTTGTTGTGGAAAATCATAAGATTCAAGAACAAATGATTTTGTTGGAAGAATTAATTTTGTCATTTGTTCTTTTATTTCAAGAGTACTTGGTGTTTGAGTAATTGGATTTGTAATTTTATATTTTTCTTTCATTTCTTTCATTTTTTGTTCTACTTCTTCTGGAGATAAATTATTATTTTCTTTATTTATTTCTTCAATACAACTTCCTATATGTTCAATTTTTGATCGTTCATTAATAGCTTTTTTGAGTGTATTTTGTATTTCTTGTGATTTAGAAATAATATCCGAATTCA